TATATATCTTAAATATATAGTTAAAATATATATTAAAATTTTTATATAAATATATATTAAATACACATTAAATGTACATTTTTTTTTACATTACATGTGTAAGTATAAAAATATATTTTATATATTTTATCTACATTTTATTTTATATATGTTTGTAATATATATTTATATATAATATATATATAAAATATATGTAATATATGTAATGTATTACATATATAAATATATAAAATATAAATATATAATATATATAAATATATATAAATATATAATATATAAATATATTATATATATGAATGTATAAAAATAAGTTTCTATAAAATATTTAAAATATAGATAAAATAAATAAATATATATTTTAAAGGAATATCTCTAAATATATATAATATATTTTATATAATTACATAAATATAATAATATATTTTTATATATAATATATATGTATAAATAATAATATATAAATATATATTAAAAATATAAATAATATATATAAATATAGATAATATATATGAATATATAAAAATAAATTTCTCTAAAATATTCAAAATACAGATAAAATAAAGATAGGTATGTATTTTGAAAGGAATATCCGTAAATATCCGTTAAATCTCTTTTTATATAATTATATAAATATATTATCTGTAAATAATATTATATAAATATATTATATATAAATATATAACCGTATAATATAAAAATATATATTACGTAAATTATAAATATAAATATATACTATGTCTTATCTAGGAATACAGAAATATATAAATATATATTATATAATATATGAATAGATAAATATATGAATATATTATATATTTATGTATAATACATAAATATATGAATATATATTATATTACATTATATAAATAAGTATATAAATATACATTTTTATATAATATAGAAATGTATAAATATGTATTACATTATGTAAAAATATATTGTATATTATATATATTATATACAATATATATTATATTATATGCATTATATAAAAATATACATTATGTTTTATATGTTATGTATAAATATATTAAATTATATATATTATATTATATAAAAATGTATAAATATGTATTATATTATATAAAAATCTATTTTATATTATATATAATATACAATACATATTACATTATATGCATTATATATAATCATGTATTATGTTATATATGTCATATATAAATATATTAAATTATATATATTGTATATTATATATTTTATATTATATACAATATATATATTATATTATATGCATTATAAATAATTATATATTATGTTACATATGTTATATATAAATATATTAAATTATATATATAATATATAAATGTTTAAATATATATTATATAAAAATATATTTTATATTATATTATATATACTATATATATTCTATGCATTATTTATAATCATGTATTATGTTATATATGTTATATATAAATATATTAAATTATATATATTGTATATAAATGTATAAATATGTATTATATTATGTAAAAATATATTGTATATTATATATTTTATATTATATGTTATATACGATATATATATTATATTATATGCATTATATATAATTATATATTATGTTACATATGTTATATATAAATATATTAAATTATATATATAATATATAAATGTATAAATATATATTATCTAAAAATCTATTGTATATTATATATTATATAGAATATTTATATTATATTATATGCACTATATATAATTATATATTTTGTTATATACTTTTATACGAACATATTAAATTATATATAAATACATAAATATTATATATAAATACATAAATATACATAAATACATAAATATAACAAAAAAATATAAAAAGTTTTTAAACGATAGATTGGAACAACTCCGTTTTCCCGGCCCTCTCCCTTTTCCCGGCCCGCGCCCGCAGCCCCGTGCCCGCGCATTCCCGGCGGGAATTCCGTACCTGGCGTCGCCGAGGTTGTCCTGCTGCTCCTCCAGCGCGGCGCTGGCGTCGTCCAGGCGCGCCTGCAGCTCGGCCGCGCGCAGCGCCAGCTCCTGCATCCCGCGGGAATTGCCGCCCTCCCGGCGCGCCGCCGCCCCCGCCGCGCCCTGCGCGCCCCCGAGCAGCTCCCGGGCGCGCTCCCGCCCGGCCCGCAGCTCCCCCAGCTCCCGCTCCAGCCGCTCCCGCCGCTCCCCGCCCAGCGCCCGCAGCGCCCGCCCCGCCTCGGCCGCGCCGCCCCGCAGCTCCCGCAGCCGCTCCCGGCCCCGCTCCGCGCTGCAATTCAGCCGCTCCAGCGCCGATTCCAGCCCGGAGCCGTCCCGGGAAAGCTCCCGCAGCTCCGCGCCCAGCCGGGAGGTCTCGTCCCGGCACCGCCCGGCCCGGGCCAGCAGCCGCTCCGCGCCCCGGGCCAGCCCCCGCAGCCACCCCGCGCAGCTCTCCAGCCGCGCCCCGAGCCCCGCGCCCGCCGCCGAGAGCCGGGAATGGCGCCGGGAAGTTCGGTCCAGCTGCGCCTCCTGCCCCTGCAGCGTCTGCTGGAGCTGCTCCAGCGCGGCCCGCAGCTGGGAGATGTCCCGGCCCAGCTGCTCCCTGTCCTGGCGCAGGGAGCCGTTCCCGGAGCTCTTCTCTCCTGGGCAGGGGGCGGGAGCGGCTCTTAGCCCACCCCATCCCGAGAGCCGGCTGTTATCCCATCCCACCCCGGGATCCACCTGTTATCCCATCCCGAGAGCCGGCTGTTATCCCATCCCACCCCGGGATCCACCTGTTATCCCATCCTGAGATCTACCCGTTATCCCACC